AAAACACATCAAAAATGTATAATTCTTCCAAGCGAGACAAATTGGATAGGACACCCTGTGGAATCTCTGTGAGCTTTTCACAATTTCCCAGATCTAACAACCGATGACGAGTCAATTGTTCTATCTCTGATGGAAAAACATTGATATTAGAACCTTGAAGGCTAAGTATTTCAAGGTTATTATTTAGATCCTTGAGTATAGCTACGTCTCCCAACTCACAATAATCTAACCGTAACATCCGAAGGTTAACCAAATTTGCAAGAGATAATGGAGGCAACATACAGATTCTATTCAATTCTAAAATTGTAAGTTTCTCCATTCCACTGAAAAACCTATCTGAAACATTAAGCAAAGCATCGCTACGCCAATCCCATTCCAATACTATGGTCAAGGTGTGGAGTTGTGGACATACCAAATCATCCGGAAGCTTCGGAAGCTCAAGAGTGTAGTCGAACATTAATGACATTGCTGAGGAAGATTCGCATGTATCTTTCTCGGGCCACTTTTTGTCACCATGTTTTACTAGAATTTCCTTGCCATCATCTTTCGCAATTGAAAGAGCAACATCTCGAATGACATCATGCATTTTGACAAAGTTTTCATCTTTGCCTGCTAATAACAAACAAGCATCTTTGAGGATATCGACCACTGTAAGTACTCGACAGCTTGCTCTTCTTTGTGTATTTGTGTTTTGTCCAAGCAAACTTCTCGCTATGCAATGTCTCGTCAACACTTCAATTGAAATATTAGCATCTTCAGGAAAGAAACAACATAGCAAGAAGCATGATTTTGCATCACTAGATTCTAACTGATCATAGCTTAACTTTAAGGAAGCATACACCTTTGGGTCGATTCCCACAATATTCTTTAGCATGGAATCTTTGAATTGATCAAGTACATCTTCCCAGACATATTTTTTCTTATCTTTCAATGCGGCTCCAACTGCAAGTATAGCGACCGGCAAGCCTCCACACTCTTTACAGACTACATCAACTATATCATGGAATTCAGGAGAGTCAACAGAATTTCCCACCATCGTCTTGAATAGGGCCCGTGCTTCTTTCTCTAATAATACTTGCATTGGAACATATCTATCAACATGCATCTTGTCCAACACACATCGGATTCGAGACGTTATCACAACTTTGCAACAATTGTTTCCATCAGTAATAGGAATCCCTACTGTCTTCAACTTCAATTCTTGCCACATATCATCCAATATAATGAGATTTTTCTTCCCATTGTTCAATCTATTCCACAATTCATTTGCTTTTCCCACTTCAGTTTCCCCTTTTAGTTTCAGACTCAAGCGATCAGCGAGTTGCCCTTGAATATTGCTCACATTTGCGTCCTGAGAGACAACTGCCACCACGACTTCATCAAAAAGTCCATTTTTCACTTGTTTGCCAATCTCTTCAACCATTGTCGTCTTACCAACGCCTCCTGTTCCATATACTCCAATCATTTTAACATTGGAATCTTGTAATGCCACCATGATGTTATTGAAAACCAATTCTCGCGATTCAAAATTTGCATAGTTTGCACTTGATGATGGGAATTGAAGTTCTTGAGCAAATGGCTTAGGATGTGCAACTATGCTAAAATTGCCACTCTGAGTGAGATTTTTTACTTCTTTCATCTTGTTTTCGGCTTCCTTGCTCATTTGGTAGCGCGAGATGTAATCCGGACATGAGAATTTAAAGCACTGCATGTTTGCGTTAATAGTATTGCTACAATTGTATCCAGTACGGCTTGCGGGGCACACATTTTCAATCCACTTTTGCTTTTTTTTCTTTTTTTTTTCTTCTTTTGTTTCTGTTTTTCTTTTTCATTTTTCTTACTATGTACAACAGGGCTAAAATTGCCACTCTTAGTGAGATTTTTTACTTCTTCAATCGGTAGCGCGAGATGTAATCTGGACATGATTTGCATAGTTTGCACTTGATGATGGGAATTGAAGTTCCTGAGCAAATGGCTTAGGATTTGCAACTTTGCTAAAATTGCCATCCTGAATGAGGATTTTTACTTCTTCCATCTTCTTTTCGGCATCCTTGCTCATTCGGTAGCGCGAGATGCAATCTGGACATGAGAATTTAAAGCACTGCCTGTTTTCGTTCATAGTATTGTCATCTTTAATTTTCTGAACTATTTTTTCCACCTCCGCTAGCCATTCTGAAACAGCTACAGTAACGTCTTCACCAACTTCAATCTTTGTTTTCTGCCTTTCAAGCTTTTCAATTTCATCTTCCAGGTTCCTCAGCTTCTTCTTGTACTGAAAAAGAAAACCAACATGGACCACCACTAACTGGATCACTGGCTCAACTATTGCTTCTACAATTTTATCCAGTACGGCTTGCATTTTCAATCTGTATCTACAGGTAAAACAAAAGCAGAGATATCAAAGAAGAGAAATATAAAGTGAAAAGAAAATTCTCTCTTTTGCGGATTAGGAAAATAAAAAATGAAAAAAAAATTGACAATAACTAAGTAGAAAAAGAAACGGATAGGGTTATTGTTAAGCTTAATCTATTTAATGATCCGAATTATTCACATTGTACGGTATATCAAACATATTATTCATAAAAATAAAAATAAAAATTAGGTTAATTGGATATTTATAGCCCATGATCAAGTCTTGATTATTTTTTTAAAAAAAAATTATCAACAAAATCATACTAACCGTTCATTTTTTTTAAATACAAATGGTTGTGTTGTGAGGGTTTTTTTTTTTTTCTTTTACAGATGATTTACTCAAAAAATATTAAAATATAGGTAGAATATAAATATACTTTATTCAAATTTCAACCTTTTTTTTTTTTTTTTTTCCAGTTCCAATCTCTAATCAAATTTATAATTTAAACAGAACCTTAAAATATAGATGAATAATACTAAGGCCTTGTTGGCAGAACTTCTCCGAATATTTTTTTCAATGATCATTTTTAGTTTTTTTAAACAAAAACAAAAGTCAAATCACTTTATTTCATTTGTTATTCAAATTCTATTTTCTGCATTTTTTTGAAACAAAATATAAATTAATTTGATTGAAATAAATACCAAAAAATATTTGGCTCAAAAAAAACAAAAACATATGAATCAATGAACACTCAACATTTTCTAATCTTTTTTAATTGGGAAAATCTCTGTTTTGTTTAGTTTTGTGAAAATTATCTTTAAGTTATATGTTTTTTATATTATTTTTTTAGTGTTTTTTTTTTTTTGATGCATTTAATCTAAATGTACTTAAAAAGAAAAATATTTAAATATATATATATATATATAATTCAATAAAGACAAAAACAATAACACTAATAAATATTTTTCATTTTTAGCATTTTTTTTTTAAAAAAAATTTCTTCACGAATTTTACCATTTAGAAGCATTAGATGTATCTAAAAATTAATAAATATTCAACTAAATTTATAAAATAAAAATAAAAATAATTATTAAAGACAGAGATTGTAAAAAACAAAAATATTAAAAATTAATTTTGGAATTTGAAAACCAAACAAGGTGTAAGTTTATAAATATAATAATCACTAGGGTTAGTAATGGCCAAATATAATAGTATTTGATGGCCAAATTAAAATTTTAATAATTATCATAGAATTGAAAATTCACTTCTCGCCAAGTTCTTTCGAGAAGCCACTCTCCGCGACTACGGCAACAAAATGGACTTTCAATAGATGCCCTCACGGTAGAAATCCCTCTAAAAATCTCACCAAACAAATATATATCTTGTAGGACTTATAAGCTTACGAAGTCAATTTTGGGGTCGGTTGGAATAAATATTTTTAGCTTGATTTTTTAATTTTTTTTTGGTTATTTTAGCTTGTCTTAAAAAAATTTATTTCGGATGAACTTTTAACTTTTTTATTCTTTTGTGAGAAAAGAAAAAGTGGAATAATTATTATTTAAATGTGATATTTTGTGATTTTTAACATATTTTGTCTTTTTGTGAACTAATTTAGCCCCAACTAATATCCCAAGCGACCCTTAGAAGTTCCACCAAATACTCTAAGATTGTATTTGGTTCATAGATTTTAAAAAAGATTTGAAAAGAAAAATAAAAAAGGCGTATGAACCTAAATGAAATGTAAGTATATTTTATTTACATTTCACATATTTTTTTTAATTTCCTTTCCAAATTCCTTTCCAAATCCTTGAACCAAACACAACCTAAAGCTATGTTTGATTCACAAATTTGTGAGGAGATTTGAAAAAAAAAAAAAAATGTGTAAAATATAATTGAAATATAATTATGTTTTATTCATATTTCCCTTTTTTTTTTTTTTTTTGCCCTTTCTTAATTCCTCTCCAAATTTATAAACCGAATACAACTTAGGTGTTTTATGTATATTGAGGCTCTCTCTACCAAAAACTTCTTTTCTTTTTCTTTTTTTTAATTCTAAAAATATGATAACATAAGAGAAACAATTGAGGAGAGATGGGAAATTGTAGATACTATATAAAACGCATACACATAATTCACAAATATTTGTACGTTAATAATTGTTGTAACCAAAATTGAGGCCTATAGTAATTGGCATTGCTTTACTAAGAAGCATGACTCATAAGGGGTCACAAATATGCATCGGCCAAGCACACGCATGCTAAGAAGTAGTTTTTAGAATCGGCAAAATACGTGAATGACAAGTAAGAATTGTCAAAAGGTGATTACGAGAAAAGAAGATGTTACATCGATAAAGGAAAAATTAACGAGATGGGACATGTTCAAACCAAGGACAATAATGCGAGGAGGAGGAACTCCTATAAATAGAGAATCCACACTCAAAGTTAGGGTAAGTGAAAAAAAGAGAACCAAAGAGAGAGGACTTATACTATTAAAAATATAATGATAATATCTTCGAAGGGTTCACTTGGCACACCACCCCGCCAAAACCTATTCTCTGTTTGCAGGTATATGACGTAAAGTGGATTATCCTCTTGGTAACAACAAGGCAGAAATTCTAACTCATCACAATTGGCGTCGTCGATGAGAAAACCTCCACTAGTGTGACCTATTTATGAAGGCAAGAAATGAGAATGTCGTAAACCCTGCATCAAGGAAATTGCCACTACTAGTACAACCCCCCCCCCAACCCCATCCAATACGAGGGCGATATCTAGAAACTCATAGTAGAAACAAGCGACATCATTTTAGATAACTCTGTTCAGGCGCTTTCTGATCGCCCCTAGAGTGATGGAAAAACGATAGAAGCTATAGCCTTGGAGAACCCAGTGCCTGCTAAAGGAACTGGAAGAGGCAAGGACCTCCAATTGCAATAAAAGGGATAGCACCTCAGAGAGTCGACAGCTGGCAAATGAAAGGATTTGCATGTCAATAAATCCTCAAAGGCATATGACTTACGCGAAGGGATGAATCATGATCATGCAGGATCCAGAATACGTCACCTCACAACTAGATGTGGTTATAACACTAACTCGAACGAAAGTTATGAGAAAAGTTCATGGTTACAAGCTAATAAAAGCTCCGCCTGCACAGACAATGAAGATTTGAAAAACAACCTCCACCATGCACCCTTTGCGCGTTGGATAGAGAAAGCTACTCTCCCAAAGAAGTTTAAAGCTCCCACATTTGTGGCGTATATCACATCAGACATTATCAACAGGCCATGACACTGTATAAGGATGAAAAAAAGCTGATATGCAAAATGTTCTCATTAAGTTTGGGGTAGTTATCCATGCGATGCTACTATAAAATGGAGCCAAACTCAATTCGGAGCTTTCGGCAACTTCAAAAGTCATTTAAGGCAAGGTTCATCATCAATCAAAAGCAACCTCAACAGATGGACGAACTATAGCCAATGAAAATCCTACCAGAAAAACCCTCCGCGCTTACTCCAATCGGTATTGGGAGTGCTATAATGAGATCGAGCACTATAATGAGTCCATGGCTAACACGGCTTTTAAAATGGGACTCCAGGAAGATAGTGCCTTGAGGCAAGCCCTGAATCAAAAACTGCCTAAGAGAGTTAATGACTTGATGAAGAAAGTAGAGCGGTATTGTAAGGTTGAGGATGATGCTATCCAAACCAAAAACACCATCGTCCTAGCAGAGCCATTAAAGGTGGTCTCACCCGCCACCAATGACAAGTTTTTGAAGGGTGTCTCACTGCCCTAGAGGCGTGATACTAGAAGTGATCCAAGAAAGGGATCTCGATGTCGAGAACAGCAATACCAGGTCACGTCCCTAAGAACATTCAAAAGCCGCCAATATACGGAGTTCACTGAACCTGTTTACAAGATCATAACACGTATCAAGACTCGGCTATACTTCTATTGGTTCTTGAAGATGGGCAGAGATCCTAACAAGTGTAACAAAGATAATTATTACAGTTATCACAAGGATCATGGGCATCTCACTGAGAATTATTACGCTCTGAAGAACCACCTTGAAGAGTTGATAAAGAACGGACATCTCAAGGAATATTTGTCGAGGCGGATAGAAGAAAAAGGAAAGTGTATCCCATGAAAGGAACTCACGGTAAGGCCGGATTCTTCCCTATCGGAGTGTTCCACACTATCTATGAGGTTGCTCACCCACAAGGAGTTTCAGCCACTCAAGGACATACTAGGACAATGGACACGGACTTAATAATCTAGTTCCTGAATGCCAAGTCGGACTCTAAGCGCCAACGGCGCTATCTAGACTACAGAATCAACTTCATGGACGAAGATCTCATTGGAGTTAGTCTCCCCGATGATGACGCTCTAGTGATCAATTTGTGCGTAGACAAGTATTCAGTGGAAAGGATCTTAGTTGACCACGATAGTATGGCATAGATCATGTAGTACAAAACTTTTAAGAAACTTAACCTCAAAGAAGATAACTTGAAGCCATCACAGAATCCTCTATTCGACTTCAACACAAATCTGGAATTACCCATCAGATCCATAGTCCTCCCCCGTTAAAGTTGGAAGTAAGACAATTGAGGTGCAGTTTCTGTTTATTAAAACTACCTTCACTATACAATATTATTATGAGGCGAACTTGGCTCCATACCTTAAGGGCAATGCCAAATACTTATCATAAAGTGGGACAGATCAGAGGGTGTCAAGTAGCGGCTAAGGAATGTTACATGACTGTTATCATAAAGAAATCTAAAGAAGTTTGTGTCCACACTATCCACGTACTGCATTAGGAGGTCCTTAAAGATGATGGGAAACCCTCCAAGAAAAAGGTAATAGAAGATTTGAGAAAAATCTCCCTTGAAGATCGTGAAAAGTATTTCTTGATTGGAGATGAGTTGTCACCATCTAAAGAAGATGAGTTTACTCAGCTCCTGCTCGCCAATGTAGACGTGTTCACATGGACTCTGTATGAAATGCCGGGAGTTGACTCTGAGATAAT